CATTATTTCAGCTAAGAACAACATATTCTGAAGAATGTTTTAGGCACGAATGACGATAATGATAATGACGTATTCGTATTCGTTATCGTTTTCGTACGGTTGCGAAATCTCCCTATTAACTATCACATTTGACGATTCACTGGTCAATTTAACCTTGTCATGTTTGACCTTACATTGACCTGGCACCTTCTGAAATCTTGCGGAAAGAATGATTCGATACTGATTAATTCCGTAGAATTCAACTATTACATTGATTGTCAAGAAAATGACTCATATACGAGAATAGTTTATTGTGTTAGGAAAGTGTTTGATGGAAATGTATTAAACATATGAAAAATATCTGATTTTTTTTGTTGCTCTATTTTTGTTGACATTCTCTTAATGTGAGAAAAATTATAGATGTTTCACAAAAATAGGCATCAAGAGGTATCATACCTCTCTAGTAGAGGACACTATCATGTGCATCTCTTTCATCTTTTCAACAATACCAGAGGAGATCTTTTTCAAAAGTTTCTTTAAATTTTTAAGCATTTCAAGCCCAATTTCAAGAAAAGAAAGACAGTGGTATAGCCCTACCCCTGACAATTTGGTAGATATTTGTAATTTGTACATGGTACTATGCCTGGAGAGGTCACCATTGAATAATTTTAGATGTACGGACCATAATCAACGTTTGGTTGGACAACGGTTTCTTCAGGACAGAATAACACTCAAGATGAAGAGATTTCAGATAATACAAACGGGAAGTTAATTACATATAGGCCTATGTAGACACAGTTATCAACCAATATTGTAACATCTGAATTTTCAAATCACTTTTAGAGTAGGGTAAGCCTACTTAAATAATTACAGCATAAATTATAACGCATATTGATGCCAAAGCCTCTGTTTTCAAATTGCATTAATTGCATCAAATACCAGTAGAACATCATGCAGCACCTGTAGGGTGGTAGCCGCGTCATAATGTTGACGTAGGTATAGACCTATTTCATAATTGCAACTATAATAATTAGGTATACTATTAGGCCCTAACTAGCTAATTGCCATTTGCTTTAGACTACCTTCTAAAAGGTATACAACCTATAGTCATGAGTGGAAATAGACAACATGCATGGTGTGCCTCGCCCAAGAATACAATAGGCTTACATTAGATTCGAACCCAGGTCTTCCAACGTAATATGTTTCCGCTTAAACCCTTAAGCTTACTAACATCACTAAAATACACTATGACGAAATTATATTGTATAACCATAGCTACCTTGAACGCCAATTTGGATTACCGTTCCATATCTTCAAATTCTAATTTTGCTCGTCGGTTCTGAATATATGATTCGTCGCTGAACGATTCAATGTTGAAACTGACGCTATTCGATACATTTTACCGAAGGAATCGATCGAATTTATTACGGTAGGCTGGATACCTTCTCCTCCCACACCACCCTATACAATCAGGCGATGCTTTCTGGCCTGTTAAGTTCTTTATTAAAGGAGCTGTCTATAAGCCATGAGGTTGTAAAATACATCATGAGAACTGCATCCCGGTTGTCATGGCTATTCGCAATTTGATATCCGTAGAACTTCCCAATTCATCATTATGATTTGGATGACGTTGTTAAATGCAGAATGAGTTCAATGTTAGTTGTCGGTGAATCTAACACTTTCATCGTAATTGTTATGACTTTTGATTCTCATTCTAATTTAAATGAATATATTAATGTTATATCTAAGTAATTGACGCAACTTGACACAAGTGGTCTTCTAATACAGATACACTTTTGGAAAAAGTATTCAGATGCTAAGTTTACAGGAAGTAGAAATTACGTACTTACAATGGCGGCAGATATATTCTTCTTCAAACAATTGGAAAACCTCATTCCAAAAGTACAACAGCGACTAAAACAAAAAGTTAAAGTATACCATCCTGGATTGGTGGAAAACGATGGCACAGATCAAGACCTACTTCTTGGCGCGGTTCCCTCTCTCTAGCCGATGCTTCATGATTACTGATCTAAAAATCAATCACCATTACTCTTTTATACCGGCCACAGTTCTGGTCGGCCTGCTCTTTCTCTCATACTTACATCGCTTAAACCACATGTGTGAGTTACCAATCGGCTTTTGTTTGCTAATTTCTTCAGCAATAATATTATCGAGTTTTTCACATGGATGAGTGTTGAAAATGAATCAAACGTGATGCAATTGTCATTGGGTAGGCAATTGCACTACGTCATTACCATTCAACAGTAGGTCATACTTTAGTTTTTACGCAGTGAGGGTTTTTTTCCAGATCGTTGGGCAGTACAGCTGGTGCAGCAGTGTAGTAGTTGTATTCGCCAAGCTCCTGAGAAAGTATATACTGTACGTCAGATCCCAGGATCACGAGATTTACACGATGTCCGAATAGAATTGTGGTTTAAAAATACTCGATGTCTTACATTTGTTGTGTAGGCTTATGCATCTATTATCTCTAACAGCAATGGATATTCTACGGCGAATATTTAGCCTAATGTTTGTTCCACAGTCGAAAAACTGGTAACAAATGCCGATACTGTAGTTAAGTTAGCGTAACGGCACATTCTGTCATCAGAAGCTTATTTGAGTGGTTTACACGCAAATTCAAGTACGTGATCCTAAAATAGTATATCTAGTGAAATAAATTATGCAATTCATTTCCATCCAGTTAGGCACACCACCTTGACCCTATTACCGTACGATTGAATGCACCCATGACCGGGACAGACATTGCAAAATACGTAGTGCTGTGTTCACAAACTTAAAAGAGGCCTAACCAAATGCGCATTAGGAAAAATGGCTATAAATAAAAACTAGGGTACAATGTGATGTTCAGAAGGCCCTGGGACATTCTTTATGTTTATTTCAATTAAATGTTATTGCTTCATCAGCCATCAAGAGGATATCCGCCAAACAAACAATAACAATGCATACAATACAACATTAAATATATAAAAGGGGTAATTTTAAGCTTTTAACTATAATAGGGCCTACATAGGAAGAGCGGTTCTTTTGAATAGAAATATTATTTCCATACTAAATGAAAGTTAGTTTTGACTATGCATGGACAATTGTAGAGTTATACATTAAGGTATATAGAAACATCCAACATTTCGGAATTACAGTCAACTACATTCTTTTTCTTAAATTTCTCCCAATTTTCCATTCTGCTGCCGCAATGTTTGTATTTGTTTGGTTTTTGGGTCTCGATTAATTAATTGTGAGCAAATATTACCGTCAAAAGTTATCCAAAAGAAAACCGCGGTAAAATATGAATATGCGGCCTTAGTAGACATATTACAATATTTTTTGGAACAAAACAAGAGTAATAATACCCTGACACACTTATAGACACAGCACAGAATAAACCGAATAGCAACTAAATTGTTACACTTACTGTATTTGTAAAAATTGTAACCATAAATAAATAATGATGTAAAGATTATAGATCGGAAAGCTCTAAATTGTAATGCAGTGGATATTTTGCCTCCGATCACATTAGGAGCAATTTCCCTAATACTGCAGGAACAAATAGCCTACTTCGAATTGGTGTCATGTGGTTGTCTTATCCTGCCATCTTATAATATTGTAGTTTATCCTAAAAATGATTTTAGGGAAACTATTTTTACATCTGAAAGATATAGCCTGTAAATCTCTGCTTTTATTGTTCCATTATTTGTTGAAAACATTTGCTTATTATTGACAACTTGACAAGAGCTTTTTGACATCTGTTCTCGAACTCATCGAAACCTTAGGGTACGCGTGGTACCCTCCCACAGTCATTTACTTTTGTTCTTCTTCCGCATCGATTCGTCAATTTCTATTTCGTTTGCTGGTAGGAATCATCGTGCACTGATTCGCGTAATTTGATACGCTAGGTAGACAAAACAAACAAATCCAAATAATAACAACCAAACATTTTATTGAAACGTATAAATATATAATCGACTACACTGCTCCGGAGCCATTACTTGCCGTGTAGACACGTGCCCACAACACCTGTACTTGTTGATGCCAGGGTTTAAGCGGGATGAGTAGCAAGAGGCTGTTGTTGATCGACTCAGTTTTCAATTACATAGTGCGTGTGTCTGTTATCACACCTGGGTATAACTAGTAAATTGCCAAGGATGTTCACGTCAGCATGAGGGAGAAGCGCTGATTTTCCCACCTAAACAAATGGCACTATTTCGCCGTTAAATCTAGAGTACCGTATAAAAACACAGGCATGTTGTGTTTTATTTATTTCTTTCTTTCCTAGAAGTAATTGTGGTACTCATTACTATTTTTTCCAAAAGTGATACAATGACATGAAAACATGAAATATGTGAAAAAGTATCTATTTGAGAATATCGCTGTATACTTGATGTTATTTTTCTTTTTCATTAAGTAGGTTAAAATATGTTAAATTAAAAATAAATCATTCTCTTCCACTGATTCAAATCTGAACATGAATCAATAATTTTCCAGTCCTGACCTAGTTTAATCTGTCATTTACAGTATTGATAGTCCTTTGTACGACGTACTATTTAACGTTTTTCATATTTACCAAAACTTGCCTGAATTTTATCATAAATATTCCCTTTTGTGCAAAAATACCTGGCTTCTGGACCCCATTGGAAATAGTCTGGTGTACTAACACCAAACTTAATGGGTCATCAAGACATTAAACTAATTATTTCTCTTTATATATTTTTTCATGTATTTTCTCATCATTTTAGTGTAACATGTGACATTGGATGAAAAAAATACATCAAATCAAATTATTCGGCAGAAGACGCCATATAAATGGCTAAATACATCATTGCTGCAACTATTATAGCTGCCATCACAAGAACTAACATATCACAATCATCAATATTATCATCACTATCAGTTTCACCATCACCATCATGGTCAATATAATCATCATCATATCAATATATAATTAGATCCAAAAACATTTTCATCTTACACAGATCCAGAAATTAAAGGAAACACATAAAATTACATAACATTAACAAACACATAATGATGCTAAGAGCGCCATAACTTTATTCTAATATTGCAATTTTCATACATAATATTAATACCCACAATAACAAATAATTAAATTTCATAGTCGTTATAACATAATCAATAGAAACAAACAAGGAATAGGATCAATTTACTATTATGCTTTTTCATACATCTACCTTATAAAAAATGATTATTTCAACCTGTATAATTCAAAACAAATGTATAGGCCTAGGCCTAATTACTGTATATGCTTTGATGATATATATTCTGTGGTAAAATCCTATACAATGGACCTTTCAAGATAGTCAATAAAACTCAGCAACTGGCCTATCAGAACCGGGTCAGGGATACGCACATGTCCCACAAACACATATTCATTTTGTGTGACCTTAGCACAATATCCAATGGGTAGGCTATAGCAGAAAGGTCATTCCTCATTTGCATAAATTATCAACCTCCAATGAGACAGACTTTTTTTCGATAAAATTACCTATTGTTTGAATTAATAATAACAGTACTATTAATAATATGAAAATAACATTATAAATAATAATAAAGTTCAAACAAAGAAAATCCAATACAATTTAGTACATTTAGTCATAAAAAATTAAACAGAATAAAATAGGAGATTTAAAACTGGTAACAAATACTTAAACGTTCATTTTCAAGGAAACTGAACTGAGTGGCTAAATATAAAAACATGATTTGAATTAAAAATAATAAGTAGGCTCTTACATAGCGCTCTATACAACTAAGTCTCAGAGCGCTGATTTCTTAAAAACCTACTCAAAAAGTAGATTTCTATCTGATATATAACTATTTTATAATTCCTTTCACATTTTTATAGATAAGTGCAATTATATATCGCAATATATGTTTACAATTTGATGAAAACTTTTCTCCAGCACAGGGATTTGTTTCACGCTTAGTTAGTCAAATAGATCAGGTACTGTACGTCTTTCCTTGAGGCTGTAATAAAAAAAAAACCATTAAAAAATGATTGTATTAGGCAGTATTAGTACAGGGAAATGTAATGCAGTGAAATGTAAATAAATCAATTCAAATGTATGTGTGTAGGTAACTACTGTATATCTTTAGTGAGTTGAACGACACTACCCTACATATGTATTGATTTATCCTTGTGTATTAACATTACAACATTGCCTGCCAGTCAGAAGCAAACTACAAACACCTATTCCTGTGTGCACCTATATGAGTATATACTATTATTTCAGCGCTTTCTCTGTGTCCCACTACTCGTATTACAGTGCATTGCTCTACACGCCACTAAAAGTATACTGCACTTGTACAACAGCACATTCCTGTGTGCACCTATATGAGTATATACCATTTTTACAGTGCTTTCTCTGTGTCCCACTACAGTGCATTGTTGTGCGTACCACTGAGCATACTTGCAGGTATACCAGGGGTGGACCCAGAATTTTTCAAACGGGGGGGGGGCCCACACAGTTTCAGTATATGTAAGTGAGTAGCACATAACATTAATATGCATTGAAATTTTAAATATTTAGTGGCAAAAAGACCCCATGCCCCCTACTGGATCCGCCCCTGTCATAGGGCACTTCGGTGCATACCACTATGATTGTACTCGTATTACAGTGTGTTCATATGCGTACTAGTAAAAGTTACTAGGAACTCTCCCTGGGGAGGGAGTGGAGGAGATTACATGTTGTGTATAGTTCATTCTGTATCCAATGAAAAGTGAAAAAGGTCATTGAGCATTTATTTACTAAGTGGATATTTGTGCTGTATCTTATAAAATAACCTGTAGCAGCTTGCTGGACACAAACATCAACATGGTTCAACACACATACAATGATTGCTGCCGATGCTACCTGTGCAGCTCTGAAGAAAAGTTTTTTAAATAGGCTTACCTTGATGTAAATATGAGATGGTATCATTTTACCAATGACTTCATCAGTTAAACTAGGAGCTTGAGCGGCCTTGAGGTGCAGTCTGGGAAGCTTTACGTACCCTGGCATTAGAGGGTAAAGGTTGTACAGTAGGGTTTGGTCATCTGATGGTAGGATTCTGAAGAACACCTTTGGTTGAAAAACAAAATTACAAACAAAAATTTTAAAGATTGACATTCATAGCATATTTTACATCAAATCCCGTGACTGATAAGCTACTCACTGTTGGATAGGAAATGAATGGAGTGGAGTTGAATAGCTTGTGGTTAAGATGCTTGCCATCCAATCCCAGAGTCATGGGTTCAATTCTTGTCACAGTAACAGGATTTTTTTCTGACCACCAAAAAGACACCACTCTTTATGCAGTGCATCTTGTGTGTATGTTTGTCTTGTGAAAGGACTGCCACTTTGATATAAGTTTGGCAAATATTTGGCCCTAGTGTCTAAAGCTGAATATAAAAAAAAAAGTTGGTAAATGAATGAATAAAAAAAAAGAAGAAATACCTGTTTATGGCCTGAGAACATAAACGCATCACTTGGATCAATACTGGCTTCAATATTCTGCACTACGTCTGTGTCATTAAAAATAGTGAATTGCATTGGTAGTGGCACACGAACAAGGCCATGTGAGGGAAGATCAGTATTGACGTGCAAGGGTAGACGCTCTACGGATATGTCAGGCAGCGCCATCTCTGTCTTGACAATAGGCTGGCTCAAATCATCAGATGCTCTAAAATTAAAGTGTAATTTTGGAAGTTTTTCAATTTTGATTTTAAATAGTGATCAATAGCATACTGTTAATAGTGTTAAATATATATTTTATCAAGTTTTACCTTCTCCAGTGAATTGTATATTGTCCAAGACTCACAGTTGTTTTGCACTTGTTGCCATTGGTGATTAAGCTCATACATTCACATGCTTGCTCATCTTGTTTCAATAATACTGAAAAAAATAACATATATATTAAAGTTGATGGGTAGAAAGAATGGAATACATGCCAAACATATATGCAGCATAAAGCCACACATACACTGTCAAATTTTTAGTCCATCAGACTGAACATTTAGGAAAAATATTTTATTCTTTCTTACATTCATCAGTAAGTACACTTAAGGCCTGTCCAGACTATGCCTATATATGGTCATGATGACATCACATCATGATCATATATAAGCACATCATGACTATATATGGGCATACAACAGTTTTTTGTCGAAGAATCTTTGATAATCTGGACAGAGCCTTACCAACTGAAACCTCCATGAGGGAGGCTTAGGGGGTGAAGTTAATAGCCAAGAGAAAAAAAAAATCCTGGTGTTTCACAGGATTTGAACCCCAGGACCCTGAGAATGGAAGGCAAAACGTCTGTTTGATCAGATTTGTCTACTATAATTGTACCATATTATGCTTACTTCAGGGGTATTTGATCCAAAAAATTGTGAGTATTCTATGTCTGTACTCCACTTAATCAGTCTGTCAAAAATTGTTTTAATCTAAAGGTTGGAGAATAACCCATAACTTGCAGCGTCATTGTGTTGAATTGCGTATGGGTGTGGTCCGTGACTACATAGCAACCGTAAAGAGGCACTTAATGGTAGCTACATGTTCACATCATTCCACAACAACAGGGGCTGAAATGAACCATAACATCGGAGTAACCTCTACTCTTCTGAATATATACACTGGACCTCCATTTTAAGTCCTTATTTGAGAAGACTTGGTTCCACCAAACGAACCATGGGCAAGGAGCAGCTGGAACCTGGACCAGCGCTGATGTAGCCTTAACATCTTAGCTCGGCCACTCGACTCGCCATGAGGACAGTGTTAAAAAGCTTAAGGATCTGTCCAAATTTCCTTCGACAAAAAACAGTTGGGCCTATATAGTCATGATGTGCCTATATTTGGTCATGATGTGATGTCATCATGACCATCTGGGAAAGAGCTTAATATTTAAATTTGCTGTTTTTTCACAAGATGCTGTCTAAAACAAGACAGATGGAACAGACAACAAGGAAAAACTTACTTTCCTGTAGTTGGGATTCTACATCTTCGTCAGTAAAACTAACATCCTCAGACTGAGAAAGAAAGGAATGACATTTTTTTGTTTTTTTTATTTTTTTGTAATTTTTTTTTTTTAATTCACAATGATTATTTGAAAGAATTCAGATAGCAAATAGGTAATAACTATGGTATTTGACTAAAACTTTATAATTCCTTCTCTACATTTAGGCCTTTACATAACAATGTTATCCCCTTACCAGTGCAAGATGACTGTCAACAATCTGGAGTGTCCATGGCGACGTGCATTTGATGTCCGTCATCATTAGGAATATTTCATTGGCATGGACATTACTAACTTCTTCGAACTTTCAAAGAAAACATATAAATGTATCCTAAAAAACAGTTCTTTAAAGATGTGTCTTAAAATATCAACTACTACAATTAAATTGCTTATTTTTTAGAGTCAATATTTATCAAAATAAAATAAACATTGCAGTTGGACATCTTTTGCAAGATGTACCGAAGTAAAAGTAAACAAAAAAATGGGGATTTACCTACAAAGAAATCAACTTGTTGATGATATATTTAACATTTTGAAAAGAATTCTACCAATACATTATTTTCATGAAGGTATACAATTTTTTGACATTGTTACCAAACTTGTGCAAAGACCCTGTAAAGTTGACGTGTTTAAGACTAGGCAAAGCCTGTCCTTGGTTTTTCATTTATTTTTCCACCCTCCCCTCTATGGACACTTCGAAATGGATAAGGGAATAATTCTGTAAAAAAAAACAACAAAAAACTAAAAAAAAACCATCCATACCTTTGATGACGTTAACCTTATTGACACATCAAATGGCATGACAGTTTCCAAGGCTACTACTTCTTCTTTATAACAAGTACAACTAACTTGTTCCCCCTGTCTGTTTACTTTTGCGTCAACGGTGTAAGCTACTCGTACACTGACAGATCTATTACCCACCTGTAGGCAACGTACATATAACTGTTTTACAATCTGTGGAAAAGAAGTAGAGATTTTGATAGTATTTAAAGTTGCGTTTGATTTTGACAATCAATTTAATATCATAGAATGTTTTTTTTTATTTTTATTTTATTTGAAATTGGTTGAGCTGTCAATCATATAATACTACCTGTTGGCCTGGTGACAAATCATCAATCTTGATTCCTTTTAAGCGGGAGTTACATGAACTTGGATTCTGTTCAAAATTTGCAATATTTTCACTGACTTGAGCTAAAATATAACAAAAGTGTTTAAAACATGTATATTTATACCCTCCCCTTTTATACAATAATTTTGCTTGCATCTAAAAGCTGCATTATCATATAATTTTTGTTAATCTTTTCAAAATCCATGGAGCTGTATGTCTGTCTGTTGACAGTGGGAATTCTGCTTTTGAGACTCCTAGCTTTGATTATGAAACAGCACAGTGAGGGGTTTAAATCTCAAACAAGTTTGAATGTGCACTGGAAAACTGCAGTTTCAACCTTCCCACATCAAGAGATTGTAGATTTTTAACTGGAAAAAGATACTTACTAGTTTGCTCCAGCAGCGAATCCTGTCCTTCCTGTAGTCCCATTGTTATGCTTTGAACAAAATTAACAAAATTATCTGTTAAAAATACTACCTATAAACCACACCCTGTACTTCTTTCCCACTTCAGTATTATTGTTATATCTTTATTATATAATAGAATATCGTAAATAATATCTTATAAAACTTATTTAATAAATTACTGTACCTTGCATTCTTTACTACAGTTTTCTCCATATTTGTGATAGTTGCTAGAATATTGTATGGTTCATTGACTATAGAGGGTGCTGCATGCTCTAACTTTATATCCATCAATGGTACCCTTGATGTAATACTGTAGAAAATAAACATATTTCATTAGAAATACACTATTTGTGAGTAAATTGGGCAGAACAAAGATGTAGGGTAAAGATAGTTCATTAACTCATTAATCTTTGTTGAATTAACATTGATAATATGTCAAAAAACATATTTGACTAATCTGATACATCCAGAGACGAAGAGAAAATAAACTAATTAGACCAAAATGTATCAAAACATGCAAGTTTAAGATGCATAATTAATTAATCAAGTCTCTTACCTTGTTGCTTGCTCTATCTTAATGAGATGCCAGTCCAGTTCATCCTCTTTTGGTTCTCCTCTCCTCTTAGGAACACATTCCTGGATGTTGGTTACTGAGGCTGCATCGCCACCTCCACCAGACCAATTCAACGTGGCACAACGAGTGGCTTCATCACCAAGAGATAGTGATACAGACACAATCTAAAAAACATTGTAACTATTATAGTAATCAGAGCATTGGAATTTAAACATACTAGATGACCATTTTATAATTCTATATACAATAAAACATAAGTTCCACTGCTCAAGCATTCAATCAAAATTAATAGAATGGGATTCGAACACCGGATCTGAAGATCCACAAATGTGGAAACTTCTACCTCAACCCAGTTCTATATATTTAGGGTGCTGTACAAGCTTCATGATTGACACTTACCTCAATTTTCTTGCCAACATCTTCAGGAATGGCTATAAACTGGAATTTGTAAACTTTGACCTTATTTGGTATGAGGTATAGGTCGCCCGACATGTCGCTATCATGAGGCATGATTGGCTCTCCTATTGGCTGCCCGTCTGTTACAATGCATTGTGGGTTATAGATGGAGTTACTAAGCTGGACAGAAAGCTTTGAAAAGCGAATGGGAAACTGGCAAGTAGGTCTATAAAAAGAATTGATGTATCAATTTAAACCACGAATAATAACAGAATTAAATATGGCACTGCAATTATAAACACACATCTATACCCAACTCACATTCCTTTCTCCACATCCCCATTGCAAGAAATTGAGAGTATTAATATTCAGTGGCATATCTAAGAGTCTTGAAATGGGGAGGGGGTGGTGCTAATGGGAGGGGACACAATGGTTTAGTTGAGGGGATGGCTTGGTGATTAAGTAGAGAATAGGCGCTAGCTCGCAAAATAAGGCGGCATGAGGTGATTTTTATCTGCTTGACCGTCATTTTTTTGCTTTGAACATTTTCAACGGGATGGGAAGAGGTTGTGGGCGCAGGTTTTTTTAGGAAGTGTACCCTGCGCCCTCCACTAGATACATCACTGCTCATATTCTCTCAGGAAAAAGTTTCACTTAAACATTTTTCAAGAGGGGATTTTTTTTTTATCAGTGACACATTTCCACTTTATTCACAATGGATGGTTTGAACATGGCAACTTAATTGAAGACATTCATAATAAGTGAAGTATAGTACCTGAGATACACATTCAGAGTGATAGGAAGATCAGCAGTGAATCTTGTGCTGGTGAAGCAAGCTTTACATTCAACTGCCAAATAAATAAAAACATTTCATTATAGTAGCCAACCAAGGATGAATGAATATATGCAAAAACAACATTAAACAGCTATAAATAGATAATATTTTAGTCAAAAAACTATTAAGATGTAATCTGTTGACAAGGAATATAGAAGACAAATTATAACTCTTGTAATAATCAGTATGGATTGGGGTTAATGTTGATTAACAGACTCTTAAAGGAAAATGAATTTGTTAAGCATCTCCTTACCAAATGGTACAATATTCTGCATTTCTAAAGTGAATTTGATTGGTTCTTGTGGATTTGCTGCTTCCCCCTTCCACAGTGCCTTTGCCTGCTCTACTGCATCTGATGAACAACCAGGTTCGGCTTCAGGTGGAACATGCTAGCCAGGTAAATAGGAAATACAAATGTTAATATGATTATAAAAAAATTAAGGTACCCTCTGTCTGTACTGGTTAACTGTATCGGTGTACCTGAACATTTGTTTAGACAACATTTTTAAAACTATTAAATTGAGGTTTTACTAAAAGTAAGGCTGATATGAAGAGCCCTCTAGAACATACAGAAAACATCTAACATTTCTAAAACTACATAACATGAATGAGGAAATAAATATATATATTTAGTCTTTAAATGTGCTGAGTTCTGTCATTATTTATATTGTTTATAAATATATGATAATAAAAATATTTATCTATTTCTCTACAAAAAACATGGAAAAAATAAATTATACATACTTTTTTGATTTGATTAAAAAATACTAAATGATTATTAGAGAGATATATGCATTGTGGTTCAATTTTAAACTTACTGACATAACACGTATTAGGTTCATTTGTACTCTTGTCTTTTCTTCAGGAGAACTTTGTGAATCTGACCCAACATTAAGGAAACAAAAAAATCAAGCAAGAGTGAAGACAAGAATGCCAAGCACAAATAAAAAGAACTTTAAATTCTCACTTTTTTAATATTCATAAATTCTAGCAGAGTATTAAATAAAGTAAAAACACATAATAGTGATTTGACTTTTTACTTTCTTATACTGAATATAAGTTTCAATATCACAGTACTTTTCTCAAAATGGTCTAGTTTTTGTTAAAAACGTTATAAGGTAGGAATACACAAATACATTATTGTACAATATAATACCATGCACTGATTAAAGGTACATTACAAATATCAACGGGATTGAAAAGGATACATCTACCCATGAGCTCTAGTGAAATTGTAACATACTCTTCCAAGCTGGCAACCAGGTAAGCACACCTGAAAAAAATTTAGTTTATCCAGATAAGTAGTCACAAAATAGACTGATAAATTAAATCTTTATATAGTGATTAACATATTGTTATGTCCAGCTAACCTGAGAGATGTAAGTAGAATCGAAGTGAGAAGGGTCCACCAACGTTCGCTACGATAATCCCAGGTAACACGTCCAAGAAGTCTGAATAGGAGACAATAGATTTGTTAGCCAAAATACATCAATATTCAATTTCAATTTAATTTGCCACATAAGCCATAGAGGCAATAAATTTGTTAGCCAACATACATCACATAAACCATAGAGGGCTATTATCCAAACAGTGTAAAAAAGATAAACAGATACTATATACAATGTTCAATAATGATGTTGACATAATGGCCCTTCCCGGAGTGCCAATCATTGCTTAGATTACCTATCTGAACATTACCAGGAACACACCTGTGACCACCAAACAAACGCACAAGTTTACGTGTACATATATTTACGCTATTGTCTGTGAGAGCTTAGCAACAACATCCAAGGGGCGGGGTTTAGTGGAAAGGTCCATTTCTGTGTACTTTATCTAATTTTATATTATTAGTAAAAATTGCTAAATATTATTAAATTTGTAATTTTAGCCAATAACATGCTGCAAACGCAAGAAAAAAATCACAATAAAAGTTGACAATTGGGTTTTCACTTACGTGAGGGCTTTGCTATAGTCTTTGGCATGGTAGTATTCTTCACCCATCTGCACCACTATCGAACAAAATTAATTCAAAGTTAAGTTTTCATAATCAATTTAGATTGTTTTTGCTGTTTGCTCAACAAAGCCATGTGAGGTTGCTGATGACCTATTTCATCATATTCTATAAAGACCGTTGGTACATGTTGCTGCTTGTTTTAGTATTTCAATTAACATGTTAGTGTAGTGGTTTCTCAAAGAAGATGACTGTTACTTACTTAAAAAGCGCTTCATCCTAGCCGACTTGTACTTTTTAAATTGAGCGACAGCGCTGCTCAACAATGGTATAATGATCCACTATGGAAGAGAAATGCCAATAACTTTTTATAAAATGTATTATTGATATATTTTAAGTCTTCAGGTATCTGGATGACTTAAGTATCTTATCGCCTACAAAAATCATTCTCTCTAGCTTTTGTCGTTAACCCTCCTTTAAAATGGTTCACTAGGCAAAGTCTTTAATATAGTTTTGTATACTTTCTGCTTTATTTTCATTTCCAGCCATGCCTGAGGGGATAATAAAAATAACAATCTCAAATACTACTACTGTTTTATGGCTAAAACACAAGAAGGCTTAACCTAATGTCAGGGAGTAGTTATCAAAGTATATAAACTCACCGAGTGATCTACTTGGAGTTCTTGATACTGAAGCGCTGTAATGCCTTCCTTCTCCATCTGGGCATCTGGTGGATCGATGCTTTGGTGACCCTGGCGCCATGGACGTTGACCGAAGAAATCTAGATTATCAGCTCCATCAAGTGGATTAGGACTTGGCATATATGTTGCATGCTGGGGAAAAATCAACACTTAAAATTAGGATATTACTTTTGAAAAAGGTTCGGGGGAAGGTGTCATGTATAATTTTAAAAGCTATTCATCTTTATTAACTCAGTATGGCTTTAATGACTACTTACCAGACAGAGCCCTCTACAGAGCTGTTTCCTAGCAATAGCATGATTGGCGGCCTGTTGGTAGTAGAAACCAGGATGTTGAGTTTGGATGGCCGTCAATCCCATCTTGATCGCTTCATCAAAAAGTTCACCAAATATACTAAATCTATATATAAAAAAAAAAAAATTGAATTAATTGAAATTTAATTAAACAATACTGTTATTGCTTTGTCTTTAATTTGTCAATTTTTATTTTCGTTTTTCTGTGTATCAACAAAAATAAATGTATGAAAAATTAATGAGTTTAAATTCACATTGCAATAGTCAGATATGATAGTACGTAATTGGTTGATACTAACTGTTTTGACATCCAATCAGAATGCTCAAATGCAAGCTCTGGGCAGCCAACTCGATTCTTAAACAAATCAATATGTTTACGGAATTGACTGATTGCATCCAATGGTGCATTATGAGTGAAAAGTTGCTGACAAATCTGAAAGTAAATTTTAAAAACTATGTGAACATTCTTAAAATGAAAATAATATTTATCATTTCATTTCATTTCTTTAGGCACAAGGCCAAGGATATGCCAATCAGCGAACTTAAGCACTATCCTACATGGCATATCCATTAAACAACAGGAGACTGAATGGACCACTACACCGGGGTAGCCCCTACTCTTCTCGTACACTGGGCCTACGGTTGTCCTTATCTCAGAAGACTTGTTCCACCACCAGAACCATTGGTGAGTGCGCTGCATTATAGCTGACGGTTACGGTGCCCCTGACTTAACCACTCAGCCAATCAACTTGCCAGTCATCAACAAGTGAACAACTGAAATTAAACTCATTTTTCTACTTATTTATTTGTTTAGTTAAATAGATCTTTTTTTCAAACGTCAAGAGGTTTTTTCCCAGGTCATTGGGTCTACATGCTTAAGTGGTGCTGTCACAATCATTGCAGGAACAGGCAACCCCACAAAGTACCCATTAATTAATTAATTGTAGAATTCATCAATAAAAGTATTAATCACTCACCTTATAATTAATGAAACCTGCAATTGTTTTTATTTCTAGCATATTGCTATCATGCGCTCTCAGCTCAGTCAAGTGAACATATGCTGTTTTGTACTGTCTGTTTTCAAAGAAATTAACAAAAAAAATGTAATTTGTATAGAATAATTGATACACAAGAGAATGTACACATGTCAAAACACTAATAATTCACTCAAGTAAGAGCAGTGTATAATAATTCCATGGCTAAATAATGGTAGTCATTGTGTATAAGCCACAGAGGTTTATCTAGGAAGAAGTGAAAACAAATAATAATAATAATAATAATAATGGAAGACTGTTTCATAATTTTATTCCAGAGTTTTGGAGCTTTTTGGAGAAAAAGCCCTGTCCCCATATGAAGATGTTTTAATGCGTGGTCCGGTTTCAGTAGGAGATGCTCAAAAATTGGTTTTCTATATTTTTCAGGTGTTTAACTACTGAAATTCTTATATTTATGCTAGCAAATTCCAGGATTTTTGTATTTAAGCATCTTCTGTAAATAATTAAAACTGAAGATTTAATAATAGCTTATGTGATTCCTGAAATGAAAATTTAAATGTTTTACTATAATTTCGGAGGATATTTATAAATTTTTCGGTTGGCAGTAAATGTTTAATCTATAGAAGTGCTTGTGATCATGCAGAAAAAATGAGCCAAAACATGTTTTATTAGCTTCATTATAATATGATAGACTTACTTTAAAGCATTCTGTGCATCTTGTTTTAGTTCACTAAAGAAAGCAATCTTGAATGCATGCCTAACAAACAAAAGCTGAAATAAAAACATTAACAAATGGTACAGTTAATGAAAGTGCCGATTTGAACTAAATGATTATGAAATTTAAAAAAATGCCATTAATGATAATAAATTAATACAGTTACATTAGCAGTATGATGATAATTACAAAACTAATTATAATAATCATAATGATATAATAATTAATAATAAAGAATAATTATAAGCTAACAATTGATACTGAGTGAATGAGTCCATAGGTGGATTAGATTGTATTTATTCGGTGCAAACACCAAGGAGCCCATGAAAGTCTAGAAGATGAATTATTTCCATTGGGGTCCTTCTGGTGGTGGTTGGGCAGTACACCGGGAGACAAACCCCTACACTTTTCCGAAGAGTGTACTGTGTTCTTTAACATGCACATGGGCCATAAATGCACATGGGACCAACGGCTTAAACGTCTCATCCAAAAGACGGTGCGCTATTGTAACTTGTATTTCAGCCCTCCAGCTGAAACACAAGGAGAGGCAGTGATGGGAATTAAACCGGGGACCTAGAGATCTCCACGGTTCAGCGCACGGACAGTGGCTACCACCAGATTAGCCAACTGAGCTAAGCTGCTCTCTCTAAAATGTAAACAGAAGTACTGTACCTGGTGGGTGGTTTTATTCAAAAATTCTCTGTGAGCCTTCACTTTACGTGCCTCCATGTGGTAGTAACTCTGAGATAATTCATAAAAAGCATTCTCTAACCTGTAAACAAATAAATGACATTAACACATAAAAACATAGCCATTAAATTATTATGAGAGAAAATTTTCCTGCTTATCAGGAATAAAAGTCAAGCATCCCTCCTGTAAATTGCACATTTGATATTTGCTGTTGGCTGGGACATTAAATAGATAATAAAACATTCTCTTCAGATTACAATCAGTTTACAAAAAAATACATGCATACCACTCTTCAGCTAACATGATCATACATATATCATACTTTATATGCCTTTCTAATTAGCATATCTAATGATCACTTACAGCCTGAATAGTTTTTGACTAAACAGACTTGGTGATGAAATATTGAGAACAGTTTGCAAGTCAAGAAATAACATCTCTGGGATTTCTTGTACTGTTTGTCAACAAAAACCTGGCACATAATAAATGTAAATTACAACATTTTCATATTTTCTGTGCAAAACTCGCTCTTGTAACAGCGTTTATGGGAAAATAATGTTGGGTATTTGAAGAGAGGACAGTTTGGAGCACCATCCCTCATGCATGCTGGCATCAGTCATATATACAGTACCTGATTGTGTACCCTAGGAGATGCCCAGTCCATGGAAGAACAAACAGTGACTTAGCAGACAGGTCACAAGCAGCACAAAGTGCTGCTGCCCTCTCTGCTGCTACGACGTCTTCACCTAGTATATTAAAAAGAAGATATGGAAAATCTCATCAGAATTGAGTCTTAAATGTAAAACATTACTTAAACCAATTAATTTTAACCTTACATAACTAGACCACATTTAAATTACCAAAAATCATAATAAAAGCTGAATTCTGGAATAACTTTATTCATATCATTCTGACTTTTGTATTTATTCATTCAAATCAAAACTTAAATATTTTATTTTGCAAAACAAGCAATTTAAAGATATGTATATACATTCAACAAAAGCTGCAATATATTGCCAACAAGGGTAGTTTAACTCAACTGACAGTGTGTCAGAATGGTACTCTGAAGGTCACTGGTTCAAATCCTATAGCTGTCCATTTTCTCTACATGAAAAGCTTATTAATTAATTAAAAGTTAAACTCAGATTAATTATGAAATATGCAAAGTTTTCACTCCCACCTGGAGGAAGGGGTGCATTCTTCTGAATCAAGACAACAGCAACTCTTGTTGAGCGTCCTTGTAGGCTTGTCCTGTTCAAAGAAGACAATACGTCAATGATGATATACAAAGTGTCCAAAATGTCACTGATCATAACATGCTAACACCTGATTATATAAGTATGTGGAAATAGTTTGAAAGTTGATAATAAGTTTGAAAGTATAAATTAACATTTTTCATGAGTTTTTGTGTTGTGAATGCGAGTTAAAAATTAAAGATATGTTACAGTGTGTTGTATTCTTGGAACTTAGAAAGTGCCAGTATAATAATAATTTCATTGTACCATTTTTGAAATCATTAATATTGTTAAGAATTTCTGATTGTACATGGGAGGTATGATCCTACCTTACAACTTCTACCCTGGTAGCACACTCCATCTGTCGCTCTTTCCATAGATTCTCATCCCAATCTAAATCGAAGAAAAGAACAACGAGAGATGGAACCTCAGCCAGATGTTTCTTCATCCAACCTGACTTCAAGATTCCTTTTGGAATGTACCATTCGTAAGACGTTCGTTGCTGAAAGAACAGAAATGAACAATAAGAAACTTAATTTATTTCTGAACTGTACAAAGAATTCAAATTCCTTAATAAATAAAGCTTTTAGAAAGTTGCATATAGGCCTACTCTGTAGATTGATAAACTCTACAAGTACTAGCTATCCAAAAGTTTATGTAGTGGTGACACCAGAGATTTAACTGACAAGGGAACAAAAATCACACCCACCTCAGCCACTATGGTTGGGTGTAGAAACTGGGAGATCCCCACCCCCTGCCAGTTTGCCCACACCTGCAGACCATTTCCGGTCACACATTACTCTCCATAACACAGCACCCCCTAGTTCCGTCACCTCTGGATTCAATTCAATACTGAATGTAGTTTTAGGCTACTTACCTTAGATCGACACTTTGGATATTCATGATCTCCTGGTAACACCTTAAAATTAAGTGGTACTCTATCTGGTCGTCTTCCAGAAACAAACGAATCCCATATATCTCGATGAATGGCGTTGTAAGTTATGTCTAAACCTGTCAATACAACCAATCCCATTGGACGACATGTTAATTCTCCAGGCAATCCACCTGGTCCACGATTTGTGTACTCGGACACTGCAGAGCCTGTAGGTGCAGCACTGCTGATGGATGGAGGAGGGGCAGATCCATTCGTGCCAGCTGCAGCGCCGCTGCTTCCAGCAGGTTGGGACTGATTTGGGCTTGGCGTTGGGCCTGGGTTACTCATCTTTATTCGTCGAATATGTTACCCTTTCAATTTACGTAATAATTAGCCTATTATCAACACAATGATCTACATAAATAAATGTTTGTGATACAACCTGTGCCAAGCTTAGGCGCAACTAAATCAATTCTTTCGGGATTGATCTAGGCTAGGCCTCCTATGAAGACAGCCTTACCAGCTACTGGTACTATGGGACGCCGTTAGTGCCGTTAGTATAATGTTTTCAGTTCTTGTGCAATAAATGCTTCATCATTTATTGTCCAATGTGTCGACATAGCGCAACTACAACAGTAATACCGAGGTTTAATAAGTCTGGACTGGATAAAATGTATGCCTGTTACTATTAATACTATTAATATTTTTTATATTATAAATCATCATCATTATCCCGTTTGGCCCCTTATGGGGTCGGGTCGTCTCATTATAGCACTGTCCTCCATCTATTGTGTGATCCGTTACTTCTCTAGGTTCACCATATAATTTTATAATTTTCACATTATTTTTATTCTTCATGTTTTATTAAAATTATTCATTTTATTTATATACAGTATAATATGAAAACTATAGATAATATGAATAATTTGAATATTCCTCATCTTATTCAAATTTGTTCATACTTCTGTATTCATATTATTCATATTATTTATATTATTATAATTATCGTCCTTATTATCATCAACATTATTATTATCATTACCGTTATTAATCTTCATATTGCTTTCATAATTATCAATCATCATCTTATCATATCATCTTCATCATCATCATCACCATTGTCATCATCACTCATCAATGACGGTGATCATCATCATTATATTTATAATCATCATCATCTTCAATTATCCTCGTCATCTTTACAATAATAATAATAATCCTCATCATCATAAGATTTCGCAATCTTACGAAAACGATAATGAATGTGTTCATTATTATTATCATCATTCGTGCTAAAACATTCTTGACAATATGCTGTATGAGCTGAATATGATCCTTGAATCATGCAAAAGGTGTGAATGGCCTACGTTGTGACAGATAATTATAGTGGAAGGGTTGTCTAAACATGTGATGATGTATGCTTGCGACAACTCCCTATTATTATTATTATTATTATTATTATTATTATTATTATTATTATTATTATTATTATTATTATTATTATTATTATTATTATTATTA